GGGGGGGGGGGGGGGGGGGGGGGGGGGGGGGGGGGGGGGGGGGGGGGGGGGGGGCTGTCTTGTCAGTGCTTCTGCTTCTGCTGCTGTTGTTGTTGTACGGCATGGGAGGTTGTCTCGAGACTAGCGTACGCAAATGTAGCGCAGAACATTCTCCCTCGTAAGGACTTAAAACTAGAAACTAACATCGAAGATTTTGAATTTGTGTGATTTTTCGTTGCTGCGGTTGCTGGTGCAGTATGAGGAATTCCCCTCACCCGCTGGCAGCCCGTTGTTAATTCATTGGCATGCTGTGGTGGTGGTTACTGTGTTTTCCTTCTTGCAGATGAAGGGCTCGTTGCGTGATCAGCTCTCCATCGACGAGCTCCGAACCGAGTTCCAGAAATTCGCCGAGAACAGGATGGCTAGAGAGCTGCCAGACTTCTACCAGGTGCAGTTTTGTTTTCCACCGTCACCATGTTTTTCGTTGTCACCACTTGTTCTGCAGCACTTTTTTATTCGTCTGAAACTTTTACTAGGAAAAAAAGTACACACACAGAAAGACTACCCGTTCGAGATATACCCACAGTCGAACGGGATGTAACTGTTGAAGGGGAAATACATTGGAACACATTTCTACCAGGCATTCCACCATTGGTTTCGTTCTTGCCAGGTATTTTGCCATGCTATTCGGTCTGTCTGTACTAGTGACTCTTCGCATCTACAAATTTTTGCGCGCTCTGATTGGTCGAGCGTTGGTTCGGGCAGTCAATTCATCTCCATCACCCTTTCCCTATTCCGCATTCCGACAACGCCGCGTTTTGCCGCAGTTCACGGCCGCTAGGCCGTGCGTTGGCCGTGGGTGAGGGTTAGGGTTAGGGTTGGGTTGGGTCGGCCACGGTGTGTGACACATCCCATGTGCGGAACCTGGGTTCAACGTCCGGTTAGACCTAAAGAGTCACTAACAGACCGTAAAGTAGCCCATTTTTTTCTGATTTGCTGTCGAAGGAGAAACGCACCGAACACGGTTCTATTAAGCATTCTGACCCATTTTTCATTTGATGTGTTACGCCGTATGATGCATCGTTTTTTTTTACGGATTGTTCAAGGGGAAACACATCGAACACATGCCGCTACCCCCCGTACAGCCAGGTTGTCCACTGAGACACACTACAGTTAGTATCGACGCCCAGAATGGACGAACCAGATTACCGTTGGGACGCCGCAGTCCACCTCGTTGTGTTTTTTGTCTCAACCTCGCCGTCGTCAACTGCCGCTGCTTTGCTCGCCCATCAACAATGACCGAACAGTTGACCAGTTGGTGTACGGCAGTAAAGCTCTGGATCACGGACTTACCCTTTTTTTGGTGCTCCTCGCGTCGTTACAATGAAATTTACAATGAATACAGGCGTGTCTGGACCGGGATGAGATCGAAGACTTTTTCGGCCGACAGGCCGCTACCACCGCCATCATCGATAGGTAGACTAAATGTCGCTGTTTTCTCCTACTTAGCATGTTTTGTTTCTCTTCGCATGCCTCTTGGTGCCCGGCTGTAATGTACTTTTTGTGCTTGACTGAATGGAAAGACTGCCGCCTGCTTCGTGTCCGCCTGATACTGTATGTACCCTTATTGCGCCTGTCCGAATGGAAAACAGGCGTCTGCTTTGAATCAACCCTGGATGTTCTTGATTGTGCTTGACGGTATGGAAAAATTGCCGCTGGTTTCCAGTACAGCTAGCTCGTTTTGCTGTGTATCTGTCCCTCTCTGTTGGCGAAAGCCCCGCGCAGGCGTCACGACTCAGATGTGCACAAGCTTGGCAATCAACCACTCAGGATCAAGGCGAACTCCAAGGGTAAAGTCACAGCGCTCTCGTTACCCCGCTGCTTTTGATGTTTTGTTCTTCGGGTGTTTTGGTACATGGCATGAGCGGTACATGGCACACTGCATCAACCACCAATGAAAATACTTTCGATGGCAGGGTCATGTATGTATGTGTATATGTTTCTTGTATTTTTTTAAGGTTTATTCGATCCGGATCGGAACAAGAGCTGAACATCAGCGATCGCATCAGGAACAAAATTCTAAACACTGAAATCACGAGGTGAGTAAGAACGACTGGCGGGGGAACTTGTTGCCAGAACTTCACCTGAGAAACTGCTGTCGTTTCGCTTACTCAGCGCTGTTGTTCGGAAAGATAGGGGTACCGACGGTTTCGTTGCAGCCATCGCTCGCTCAGTTCGTAGCCACTATCGCATTGTGTTCTATCAGAAGCGTTTCAGCCTGTTCCTCGATGTCTTGGCGGAACGTAGGGAGTCGAAGGTGCTTTGCTTGGCCAATGATAAATCAAAGGCATCGGTGATGCCCTCCCCTACGCGGAAGGGAAAGGAAGTGCCATGCGGCAATGTTTTCATTTTTATGGTGAATACAGAATCGCGCAATTCTTGTTTCTTAACCGCAGTGCGTTCACTCTGGCCTATTGTCACCATCTCGACCCGAGGTAATGATTTTACGATTTTTCCCTTCGTCATTGAAAATCTCTTTTCTTTTCTCTGTATTTGTATCACGGTTGGTTTTTGAAATTTTCTCTCAGTAATTGTGGTACTATGCTTGCTCTTTGATATTTTTTGTATGTGATTGCATCATTGATGCTTGTTATTTTTTTTTCTCTGTAATTGTGTCGTGGTTGTTTCTTATTCTCTTCTCTCTGAAAATTGCAATATGTTCGTTTTTGTTCTATTCTCTCTGTAATCGTATCACGGTTGTTTTTGCTCTTCCCTTCCCTGGCCTTACTACACTTGTCAGCTACAACATCTTCAACGAAGCCATGTCTGTGGCGATGAACATGATGGACACGAACTTTAGCGCGGCGTTCAAGCGGAGCGAGGCCTACAAGCAGCTCGAGAGGAATGTCCAAGACGAAGCGGAGGAGTTGGAGAGGCTCAAGAAGGTGGGTGGGCAGCAAGCTGGGAAGTAGGTACAGTCGACCCCGCTTTAAGGACGCACATGATTGTTCCTGAAAAAAGCGTCCTTAAAGCGGGGTTTCGTCCTTAAAATTCAGGGGACGATAGCTCATCATTCCCGGGGCCAAAGGAGGCATGTTATACCTCAAACTACGCGTCTTTTGCTAAGGAAGGGGGGGTACGACAAGTCAGCATCGCCGAGACGAGTGGCAACCGTTTGTTGACGTCGAACATATTTACAATACTTGAAATGAGATGTACAGCAGCCGGGGACGTGTTGGAAGCAACTACAGCACACCAGTTTGTACTTGGCCAACTAATGTACTGCATAGCCGGCCGCGGAAGGAGGAAAGTCCAAGTAGACATATATCTATCTCATTCTTGTAAAACAAAAAACAAACGAGCGTATTACAGCGTCGCACCGAGGAACACCAGTACGTATCACTGTCTGTCCCGGCGGAGACCAAAAGCTACCCTGATGGCTTTCCCTTCCACATATCGCGAAGAGTTCCCCGAACCTCCTCCCGCTGCCTGGCTCTACGGCTCTGTTGAGTTTCATGAGTAAACGAATGAACGGTCTTCGAAAGAAGGTACTGCGTGTCACGGTGCTCGCCACCCCTTCNCCGGGGACGTGTTGGAAGCAACTACAGCACACCAGTTTGTACTTGGCCAACTAATGTACTGCATAGCCGGCCGCGGAAGGAGGAAAGTCCAAGTAGACATATATCTATCTCATTCTTGTAAAACAAAAAACAAACGAGCGTATTACAGCGTCGCACCGAGGAACACCAGTACGTATCACTGTCTGTCCCGGCGGAGACCAAAAGCTACCCTGATGGCTTTCCCTTCCACATATCGCGAAGAGTTCCCCGAACCTCCTCCCGCTGCCTGGCTCTACGGCTCTGTTGAGTTTCATGAGTAAACGAATGAACGGTCTTCGAAAGAAGGTACTGCGTGTCACGGTGCTCGCCACCCCTTCCCTTCGCGTACACAGATAGCGCCCGCAGTTGAGAAAAATTCTGTCATGAAAAAAGGCTCAACTTTGCACGAAAAATATGCAAAAAGGGCCAAGAAACATCGCTCAATCTCGGCCACAACGTAAGAAACGCCCCAATAAGAAACGTGATGGTGCGATACCCCCATGACATGAGAAACCTGCGGTGCTCCCAACCCCCTCCCAAGCTGAACAGAAGTGCATTTCTTTGTAGGGGGCAGAATCCCGCGCCCCTGCTGTTCACAGTGAGTGCTGTACTGTAGTACTGCCACACATCGCCGACAACCATATGCTCTCCGCTGTTGTACGGGATTGATGGCACTCTCCACCAACTCTCTTGAGGGCTTGATGATGTGGGTTGTCCTCAGAGATCAAAAGACAGAAAAAAGAAAATACGAAGTACTTGTTGTAGTCTAAGGAAAAAGAGAATCGGGAGAATGCGACAGTCCAAAGGAAGAAGACATGCCATTTACAAAATGGACGACTTGGGCCGGTACTTCCACCCAAAAGAAGGGATCGGTGAGGCTCGAACCGATTTTGACGTTTTTTAACTGCGGGCGCTATCCGTAGGATCGAACATCCTCCAAGCGAGAGGTAACCTCGCCCTCGGTGAGGGACGAAGTTGTGCACGACTCTTCTTTTGGCGGCATCAGATGGACCGCCTGTAGATGGGAGGTTGTAGCTCCAGCAGCAGACCGCTCGCTACGTCTGCTGTCTGTGCGTCGCTACTTCTGCACTCACTACTGTGGTGCGTGGTTCGTGCAAAGAGTGGCCCGCAGGCCCGCAGGACACACAAAAAGGGGGAGTACGTGACAGAAAAGATGGGGGTACCCCATTATCGTATATTCTGCTGGGGCCCCGGTGCTCAGCAAAAACAAGTTTCCTTTACGCGGGGAGTTTCCGTAATGCGAGCGTCCTTAAAGCGGGGTCGACTGTGTTTTGTCTCTTTCCTTCTTGGGTGTTGGTTGCTGTTGCTGTGTTGTTGGTGGTGGTGATGTTCCCACTCGGGCAGGTTATTCACGTTTCGGGGCGACGATTCACGCACTGGCTGTAGCTGTTGTCCTCATGTTCGATTTTTCCCAAGCGTTTGGTCGTGTCAATGCCATCACGGGAAGTAAAAATAGTCAGAAAAAATCTCCTCTGTTCCGCCACCCGGGAGACCCATGAGAGTGGAATTTTGTTTCCCCTCTGCACAAGAGAAATGATAAATGATGTTTGGGGGGGCCTTGACGTTTTTCCCCAACCCCGTCGTCGGTGTGTGTTGACTGTCGTGCTGCAGTCTTCACTTTGGCCCTCTGGCGAGGGCACCTACACCGAGCTGAACTCTCGAGTCTGTCTGTCTCCCCCCTCCCCCCTTACCCCCCGCCTTTCCCATTTTCAGATGAACCAGCTTCCGCCCAAAAATCACGTCCCGACAGAGCCGAAGGGTTTTGTGAGGGTGTTTCGGCGGTTCTTTCCCCCGCCTCCCAGTGAGGCCTCTCTGAGATCGGGTTCATCGCGCTCGGACGGGAGCTTCGTGGGAGGGAGAGAGGTCTCCACGACGTCTTATCATCCTAGCGTGACTACGGTGAGATTTGCTGTTTGCTGTTGGTATTGCTGTTGGTCCGGTTGTTTTTGTCATTGTTGCAGGCGTTGCTGCTGTTGATACCGCTCTTCCTCATCTGTCTTTTTTTCCTTATCTCACGTGTCTTTATGTCGTTGCTTTCAGGAATGTACTGCCAGGATGAGCATGAAGATGATGAGCAGTCGCAGCCTCTTGCCGCCCGAAAGCGGGCGGAATGCGGGAGCAGGTGCGGCGGTAAGGGGGGACGAAAGCGATCTCGAGGTGTGACGTTGAGCCATGCGGTTCACTGCATGAATGCCAGGTTCGGACAAAAAACTCAACCTGTGATGGCACCCAATTAGCCAAGGAGGCCTTCTTTTGGGGGCCAATGGAGACAAAACGTTTTGGTGGGAACAGACGGAGGCGGCTTTTCGCGGACCGTTTTTGTTCATGTGAGGGAAGGAGGCTTTTTTTCGGGGGTCAAATGAGGCGTGTACGTTTCTTGTGGCCAAATGATGCGTCTTGGACGGGACGAAGGAGGCGTTTTCCGGGGGGTGAGGTAGGTGTTTTTTTTTCGGGACACATGAGGCATTTTTCAAGCCGACGGAATCAGGCGTTTCTTCGGGGGACGAAGGGAGGCGATTGCAGGAGATTGAAGTAGGGAGAGCAAATTGTTTTATCGTCGATTCATCAGTTTTAGAGTGTGACCCGGGCGAAGGAGCGTGTCTCCGCCTCGCGCTGGTATTGTCATTGCCTGGCGTGTCGTAAACACGGTGTTCAGTTCGTGGTTGCACCGATCGTTGAGGAGAGTGGCGTTGCGTTCGCGCTAGGGACCAGGAAGGTCGCTCCTCTTGTCGCTATGATCATTGAAAGGTTATTTGCTGAATATGTTTTGATTTCTTCGTTACAGAAACATTACAAACTTGTCTTAAATCCGTAGACGAGCTCGTGTGTCTTTTTTTTCTGTGGTGTTGCACTCGACAACAACGTATAGGGCCGCGGCTAGATCGTCGATTCCCGGCAGAAATTGAGAGAATTTTTTAATCGAAGGAGATTGCGGTCCGCGCGCAGGCAGCACGATTCACTGGTACGGCGGCCCACGGTTGAGTTTTTAGAAAGTAACATAACCTCACAGGAAGACTACCCGGTTGAGTTTTGTTGGATGGACGACCGACCGTACGGTATGAAAACGGCGTACGGGAGAATCGGCGGTTTTCGATGTACACGTACGTCGGTACGGGAGGATTTTCATTGTTTTGTATGATTGTTTTTTGCGCGATTATCAAGAATGTTATCAGGTAAACAGTAAATCGTACCAGAGCGTTACCCTTTGTCCCTACTCGCCGACTCTGGTTGCTCGATTCGGGAATAGAACTTCCCCGCACCGAGTGTGAGCTTGGGCGTCGATTCCGAAGGTCGGCCCTCTGTTTCGTTCGTTGGTTCTGCTTCTCCCGGCCGGTTAGTAAACCGTACTGTATGGTGTTTCTGTTTTCCGTGGTACGGGTGTCGGCGAGTCGCCGGGCGTGGCTTGTTGTGTTCTCGTCTTTTCCTTTTGTCCTCATCAGGCTGGCCACACGGGGGGTTAGGGTTGGCGTTAGGGTTGGCGATTCCCAACTTGTTGTCCGCATTGTCCGTCCTTCGGCGTTGTTGCGGTTGATTTCGTAGTGCCACACGCTAGACTAACAGTTTGGTGTCGAAAATGTTGATGCGCACCCTGTCTGCCTGTGTTGTAAGAGCTGCGATTTGGAGCTGCCGGAAATTACGAGAAAGAAACATCGAAACGGGATTTTGACGCCGTTTTGATGCATGTGAAGGATAGTGTGCTCAATAGACGTCTTCGGCGTGTGGCCACTTCGTTGTCGTTGTTGTTGTGAATATTTTCGTTGTGCCCGAAAGTTGTCCTACGTTTGTTTTACCTCCCACGCATTGCGCTCGTGGGGGACGTACGTATCAGTACCATACCCGTTGTTTGTTGTAGTTTCGCGGAAGCCGCTATTTTGTCCCCGGTGTTTTTTTTCGTCGACGCAGGTATGGAAATTCGGCGGAGCTGGGGGCTTCTCACTCATGTCTGACGTCAGACCGAAATAACTTCGCGAACGCGCCTAGAGCAGACTTTGGGAGCGCAGGGGGGGGGAGGGAGGTGGAGGGGGGGCGACGGTGCTGTTGATTCAACATAGGTGTAATTCGTTCGGCCTACTGCAATGGAGTCCGTCGTCGAGCCCCCAGAGGCAATCAATTTATGGTATTTTGTCGTATGCGGGAGTAGGCGTTTTGGCCCGGGGATGGTCTGTTGGTATCCCCTCCCTGGAGATGGATGATGAGAGCTGTGTGTGGGCCATCGGTAGGTGGGTGCGTCACCCTGGTTGGTGCGAGATGTAACGTAAGTTGTTCTTTGGTTGTGGTTCGAGAATGTTGTGGCGTTTTGTATATCTAGGCGCGGGAGTGTTGGTATGTAAGCGAAGTGACTTACCGTGAGGAGTATATATGGGGGGCAGCATTCGGCGGGACCGACATTCCCTCGCGGACTCTCTGTGATGAAGGAGGGGGGCGAGACTTGGCCGTGACAGGATGCTTCGTGCGGGTCCTCTGTCTTCTCACGTGATGTCGCTTGTATATTCGTCATTCACGCAAGGTTGGGTGAGGAATAGATACGTGTAGGCATCTCTGGTGTAGGAGTAACATTACCGGTGCTGCTTGCGACGTTTGGTATTACGGTGGAACATAGTAGTCAGGACCAAATTGGAATATTGTGTAACTTCGTCAATACGGAGTCCCCTATCACAAACTATAGCGCAAATTGACGACAAAGCACAGAGCTCTCTTTCTAAAAAATAAAAATAAAAAATAATCACCATGTCTTCGTGGAAATGAAGAGACACATTTTGCTAGCTCGAACGACGTGCTGTAGAACCCAAGCGACCGAAACAAAGCACCCACACCACAGACCAGTGCGAGCTATGGAGGGTGGCACTAGTCCTGATGCGAAGCGGGCCCGTACTTCCGCGGACGGAGGCCAAACGAACTAAAAAAATACAGCAGCAGCGGAGGCGCCGCCGCCGCCGCGGCGGCACCCGGCTCCATGACCGCACGCTCACGCCGTGCTGCGCCGGAGGGCGAACCCAATCCAATCTTTGACGACCCGGTGGTGGGGGAAGAGATCGAGGGCTTGATACGAAGCGGGCCCGTACTTCCGCGGACGGAGGCCAAACGAACTCAAAAAATACGGCAGCAGCGGCGACGGCGCTCTATCCTGCCGCAGGCTGCAGCAGCGGAGGCGCCGCCGCCGCCGCGGCGGCACCCGGCTCCATGACCGCACGCTCACGCGGTGCTGCGCCGGAGGGCGAACCCGATCCAATCTTTGACGACCCGGTGGTGGGGGAAGAGATCGAGGGCTTGATGGGAGACCCGCCCAGCGTGAGCGATGACGAGGAGCGTGCTGCCGTTCGAAAGCATGCTATCGAATCCCCAGAGACTGCTGTCCGGGCTTTCATCAAGGAGCGAGCAAGGAGCCTGGCGATCGGAGCTGGCTGCCCCCACTCCCTGCCCCTCGTGACTTGGAAGGACGACCCAGCTTCCGCCGTGACATGCGGGAAGCATCAGGCGCATCTGATTGGGAACGTCGACTTGCAGGTATGCACACAGCTGCAGCAGCGCTAGGTGTAGACTAGTCTAGCCGATGCCGTTTACAGCAGTAGTTGGGCACAGCAGTAGCTGTACAGCAGTGGCCATGCAGCCCGACGTCTTCGTTAGGCAGCAAAGCGCAGCGTGAACTACGGCAGAGAGCTTTGAGTTCCAGTAGCTTCCCGGAGAGTTCCATTAGTATTGCCCTGTCCCCAAAACGAGTTGAGGGACAACGTGCTACATAGAAAAAACATGCACCCGCCTCCATGACGCAGTATATCACCCTCCCTGAATCCGTGTGTTGTTTTGCAATCCATGGGAACACGACAGCCTAGGCACCTGGTGCAAGGTATTTTGCAAACATACTGTTATAGGAAGGCTACAATTTAGTGCATCGAGCGCACGCTGCTGTTCATAGTATTTTTTTGATAGTTATCGATCATGCTGCAAAACTTGTGGAAGGCCAGGTACAAACCTGTGAGTACATTCTCACCTCCTCGGGCGTGTGCACTGCTGTGGTACTTTTTTTGTCTCCATCTGTACATACTATGTGTGCGGCCCTTTTGATTTTGTTCCTGAAGAGAGTGCTCGTATCTTAGATCTCCTGCCTCTGCCCTGCAAAATTTTGCACCAATAATACGAGATATTTCGTTGTCGCGCATAACAATTTACCTCCTCACGCGCCCCCCCCCCACCCTCTATTCTGCGATGTCCTGGTTGCCCCAAAGACGGTGCTCGAAAGGCAACTCAAGTTGGACGGCGATCCCGGATACTGCCTGGCGAAGAGGGTGCGAAACCAGGTGTACTACGATACCCCCACCGATCTGCTCGCCAAAGGAGCCGGGAATCAATGCACTGCCGCCGAGTGCATGGTCGCTGCTTTGAAAGTGTTCTCGGGGAAGGGAAACAAAGGCATACCGACCGAGATCGTGCGCGCCATGTGCATGTATTAGTGTCACCTCCTGGCTGCTGTTGCTAGTGCGTGCGAGTGGCTTGTGGCGGCATTATTTAGCGTGTTAGAAACTTGTGGGGCGGGGGGTTATGTGGAGACGACTCACCCGCCCGTGCACCACGCAGCAGATGCTCGTGGTTGGGACTAGAATTCAGTCGGCAGTTCTTTTCGTTTAGAGGGTTGTTGGGGGCGTTTTGAACGGACGGACGCCGTGTTGTTTCAAATGTTGAAATGCATCGTCATTTTTTGGGTTGCGAAGCATAACGACGGTGTGTGGGGGGGGGTGGGGGGGGTGGGGGGGGGGGCGTCCTTTAGAACTATACAAGTATAATGTTTTAGCTGCTGGTTTGCACGACTGAAATGCACCCTTTGTTTTCGAGTCCCATCATCAATTGTGCCGCTGCCTTCAAGATAGATCTGAATGCACCTTTATTTTATCCGAAACATCTCGGAGGGGGAAGGGACCCTTTCGAAAGATAGACCACAACGAGGTGGGAGGGATATGCCCACCCGTTTGTATTTTTGGAACACGGCTACCAACCCCTCCTTGTACGTATCGATTGAGCACATATATGTGCGGTTTTTTCTGCCCACCGCGTTTTTTTTTTTCGTTGAAGAGGTGGAAGGGTGATCCTCCCTCCCTCACGTATGTTTTTTCACACGACTACCGATCCTTCCTTGCACGTATCGATGGAGCACACAGAGGTGGGCGTGTTTTCTGCCCGCCGAGACAGTTTTTTTTTTTACGGTGAAACACAACGAGAAAGGAGGGAGGTTCTCTGCCCCCCACAACCTTTTTTTATTTAGGACACGGCAATCGATCTGTTCAATGCCTTCAAAATTGCTGCACTCGCCGAGAGCAACAACAGCACACCTTTGGCAGCGGGAAAAAAAAAATACTCCAGGACGAATTTTGCATACCCCCTTTCAATCTCCCGCCCGCAAAACACGAACTACGAGGAAGTCCGGCTGGCGGGTTTTTTCGCCGCCCATTCCTCTCGGACCTTCCGGCAGATTTTCTGCCCCTTTCGCTGATGCTGCTTGTCAGCCAAAAACTGCAAGCCCACCCCTGCAGCGGTGCACTCTGCACACACCCGAGCTTTTTTCCCTCCCGTCCGGACATCAGCAAGAACGATCGCATTCTTAGATGTGTCGCTCCCCGCAGCCGTGTAGTCTGGCAAACAGGCGAGAGCAGCCGACCTCTTCCTGCTGCCCTTTCCTTTCCCTCCAGCCGTCCCCCCGTCCTGTGCTCTGCCGTCTTTGCCGGGGCCTTTGTCGTCGCCCGTGATGGCGTCGAATTTTCCTCTGACGGATGCCAAGTCCACCGCACCAAACCCGGATGGGTGGATCTCATTTTCAGCGACGTCTGCTGCGGAGAGCCCCTTCCACACGGCAATAAGACGGGACTTGTCCGCCTTAGTGGTGTATCTGTCAGCAGTTCTCTGCTTTTTTTGGTCGTCTGTCTGGTACTCGCCAGTCAAGCTCACCCTCGTGTTCTTCCGCTCGTGATCCGAAACGACCTTGGCGGCAGGCGCGCTTAGGATAGGTAGTCTAAGCTCCTCACGGATAAGATTAGCTACGCCCAATGTTCCGCATCGTAGCGTGCGATTCATGACAGCAATTTGAGCCCGTGGCCAGTGCGTCAGCGGAAAGTCGTTTCTCTTCGAAGCCTTGCTCGCAATGGAGCCGTTTACGCTTTCAAGGAACTGGGTGCCCAGGTCGGGCATGAACGCCGTGGATCTGATGCATGCCACGGCGAAAGCGGTGTGCGAGTCGCAAGGTCCGCAGGGGTGCGTCGACCGGATGTTCCCCCCCAAGGAGTTGCAACAGTGCGAGAAAAACGCCCAATCGCGGCTCTCGCCCCATGCCTGGTGCCTAACGGACGACCTGGAATAGTTTTTGGTGGGGTTTTGTGTCATCATGGGAGGGGTGGGGGGTGGGGGTTGTGTTAGACTTAAACAACAGCAAGAAAGACGAGGATCGATCAGTAAAGTTTCTGCTTAGGGGGCGCTCTCGCAATCCATGGTACATACTTTTCGATCTGAGATGATCCCATCACTTGGACAAAGAGCGTAGTGCCGATCGCCTGGCGAAAAGCCTTCTCCGCCTCCGAAATTTGACGGGCCGCTGCGATGCACGCCATCTTTTTTTCCTGCGCGTGCGTATGCAAAGGGCAACCGGATATTTGCGCGTGCGGAGGGAGCAGAAAAATCGGGTCCAAGTACCTCGCTTTCAGACCCCCTTCCCCCCCTCAACCCTCCGCCCTCAATGCTNTCGGGTCCAAGTACCTCGCTTTCAGACCCCCTTCCCCCCCTCAACCCTCAACCCTCAATGCTTGTACTCTATCGGGGCCATTACGCACGAACCGCTTGTTCAGGTACAGAAAAACAAAAACTGAAATGGGCCCACTTCTTTTCACGAAAAGCTGAATCGGGCACGGGCGATAGCAGGTCCGTAATGCTGTTGAAACGTGCGCAAATCTCGTCGGGGTCCCACAGAGGCGTAGTATAAGGTCACAGGCGACGAAAAAAATCGCCGCGAGTCGATTTGTTGTTGTCACTCGGTCAGTTGACTTGCTCGAGACTGCGGCCACTAAAATCACCGAAAGTCGACCCGAACCCCACACGACGAATATTTGTCACAGCATCTTTCATAAGGCAATGCACAGGCTTTCTCCTGCATTCCGCCACAATAGTATACCTTTCGGCGAGGAGAGTTAATTCCGTTGATGAAGCCTTCGGTGAGGCTACTTGAGAGGCTGGTGTGGTTGGCACAGGCGGGTGTGTGCGATAAACGCGGCCGCCTTAATTTCACGTTTTCGTGAAAAAAAA